AATGAAGTATTATTGGTCTAAGGTAATAAGACCCGACGCTGGCGTGTGGTTAGCTTCAATAAAACCCCCTTAAGTGCCAGGTGGGTCACTAAACCGCCTAGGACTATAGGGTTGTGGGTGCGGTCTCCATTAGGTTTAACGGTGGTGAAGGTATGTCCCTGTTTCCTAAGATGAAGAGCAAATAAATGAGCGATGTTCATCCTAAAGGCTTCATCAGAGTCCCCACACCTCAAGTAGCTACCTAGGATAACTACTTCGTCTGCTCTAACATTGTTAGGTTCTACCCGTCCAAAAATAGTCCATCCTGTAGAACGGGTCCAAAACCTAAGGACGTGTTGGTGAATTTTATTAGCAGAAGCATGTTGCATGGACTCAATATTTTCACCAGTCATAGCAAACCACAAATCGCCATAAATAAAATTGTTTGGTTGCATGGTTAGACTCGAGGCGAGTAGGCCAAACTTCCTAGCAAAACCATCTAGTGAAACTCGATGGGATTTATTCAACAGTATATACACTACATTTGTCACCAAACCATCTCTACCCCTCTCTACATCAAAAGAACTCAAAAATTCAAGATTAATATCATTGTAAGTATAATGAATCATATTGAACAGTTGAGTCATGCCAAGTTTAGAAAACAAAATTCCTACATTCAGAATCTATTCCTAATTTTGCAAGAAGAGAACGATCTATAAACCGAGTAGGAATTACCTTCCGACGTTTGAGCTCTTGAAACTGCATCTTTTGATGGGGAAACTCGACCACAAACTTGATATGTGGAAACTCGGGATTGCTTTCCAAATCTAGTTGTGGTTCTTGAGGTGCGCCCCTATTTCTCTTCCTTGTAGCCATTGTTGTTCCTCTAAGCTTCCTCTCTTTAAAAAAATTAAAATTTGGGTGAAATGAGTTTTGGGAGGTGAGAGGAGTAGTAATGGAGGTTGAGTATTAGATAGAGGTGATGAAGGGTGAAGAAATTGAAAGAATTTGAGTGAAATTTGTAGGAATTAGAGGAGAAAATGAGAGTTGGGATTTGGGGGTTTTTAGAGAGAGAAAGTGTAGGAGAAATAGAAATATGAATGAAGAGGGAAGATTGGAATGGGATGAAAAGGGTTTTATTTCTTTGGTTATTTCTCTCTGCTTACGCTAGTTCCCTCTCGCGCCCGGTCGGGCATCGATGCCTGGTCTGATCGGGCATTAGGGGTAAGATGAGTTCTTTATACGTCTTCTTCATCTTCCGTTTCCTTCTGATTATTGGCTCTTGTGCCCGGTCAGGAATCCATGCCCGGTCTGACCGGGCAGTAGGGGTAAGATAAAGTTTCTTATTTTCTTCCTTCCCCTTTATACCTTTTTCTACTTCCTGCTTCTCGCGCCCGATCGGGCTTCCATGCCTGGTCTGCCAGGGCGACGAATGATTCACTCGTTTCTCAATCCTTAACAATTTTCTTGACATCCCACTTATGCATAGCTCGATGTTCCCTAAAGAAAAAAACAAAAACATACAAAATACTAAAAAGGAAAAGAAAATAGGAAAAGCTATGAAAACGGGTTGCCTCCCGCAAGCGCTTGTTTATAAGGTCGCTAGCTATACCATGGTAATGCTCATTAAGTTGGCGATGGGGAAGAGAGCGTAATGTCCACCTTCTCCTCGATAGGATCCCCAACGTGGTAATGCTTCACCCTTTGTCCGTTAACCTTGAAAGTGGCCCTGGTCTTGTTCCATAGTTCAATAGTGTCGTAGGGGTAGGCCTTAAAAACAGTGAAAGGACCCGACCACCTAGCTAGACCGAAGCTTACCGGGAAACAATTTCAATCGTGAGTTGAATAGAAGGACTTGATCTCCTTCCTTGAATTCTCTTCTCACAAGGCCCTTATCATGCCACCGTTTAGTCATTTCTTTGTATAATTTTGAACTCTCATAAGCTTCAAGATGGAGCTCATCTAGTTCATTCAATATTAACATTCTCTTTTCTCCCGCCGCTTGGGCATCAAAATTTAAGCTCTTAATAGCCCAAAATGCTCGGTGTTCTAGCTCAACGGGTAGGTGGCATGCCTTCCCATAGACAAGTCTGTATGAGGTTGTACCTATTGGCGTTTTTAAAGCCGTTTGATATTCCCATAGTGCATCGTCAATCTTAGCCGACTAGTCCTTTCTTGTCCTTGCAACTGTTTTCTCTAGGATATATTTAATTTCTCGGTTGGACACTTCAAGTTGACCACTAGTTTGTGGATGATAACCAATGCCAAGCCTATGTTGCACTCCATATTTCTTCAACATTTCTTCGAACCAATGCTCCAAGAAGTGTGTTCCCCTGTCACTAATCAACACACGTGGGATACCCAATCGGGGAAAATAATTTTCTTGAAAAATTTACTTACCACATGAGCATCATTGGTTGGAGTAGTGATAGCTTCAACCAACTTTGAAACATAGTCAACGACTACTAAAATATATCGGTTTCCATGGAAAGAAGGAAACGGTCCCATGAAATCTATCCCCCACACATCAAACAACTCGACCTCGAGTATGTTGTTTAGTGGCATCTCATTCTTCCTCGAAATATTACCTGTCCTTTGTCAACGATCACAGGCTTTGACATATGAGTAGACATCCTTGAACTAGGTTGGCCAATAAAAACCGCATTGCAAGATTTTCGCGGTTGTCTTCGAAGGACCTGCATGTCCACCACACGGTAAGTCATGACAATGGGAGCTGATATTACGTACCTCATTCTCCGGGATGCATCGTCTGATCACTACATCCGCACATAACTTATACAAGAAGGGATCCTCCCAAAAATGTCTCCTTGCCTCATAAAGGAATTTCCTTTTTTGTTGAGACGAGTAGCCGTGAGGCATTGTACCTGTGGACAGAAAATTAGCTAAATCAGCATACCAAGGTGATTCAATTTTCGAAAGAGCTAATAAATGTTCATTAGGGAAAGAATCATCAAAAGGGAGGTCATCTTCGTCCCTATTATCAAGGAGGAGGCTAGAAAGATGGTCTGCAACGAAATTCTCAGTCCCCTTCGTGTCCTTTATCTCGATGTCATAATCTTGCAACTGAAGGATCCAACAAATCAACCGCAGCTTGGCATGACTTTTAATCATTAAATATCTCAATGTTGCATGATCTGTATGAATTATTACCTTTGAACCAACTAGGTAAGAATGAAACTTGTCTATTTCATAAACTACTGCTAACATCTCTTTTTCAGTTGTGGCATAATTCTTTTGAGTAGGGCTAAGAGATTTACTAGAGTAATAAATAACATGAAATTTTCTATCCTTTCGTTGCCCCAAAACGGCTCCTACCGCATAGTCACTAGCATCGCACATAATTTCAAATGGTAGGGTCCAATCCGGGGGTTGCATAATAGGAGCAGAGATCAAAGCTTCCTTCAATCTGTTAAAAGCCTCAAGATAAGCATCAGTAAATACAAATGGGGCATCCTTAGCCAAAATCTTAGTTAGAGGTCGAGCGATTTTTGAAAAATCTTTAATAAATCGTCTATAAATCCTGCATGACCAAGAAAGCTCCGAAATCCTTTTACAGAGTTAGGAGGGGGTAGTCGCTCAATGACCTCTATCTTTGCTTTACCAACCTTAATACCCTTATGTGATACCACATGGCCTAGAACAACTCCCTATTGTACCATAAAATGGCATTTTTCCTAGTTCAAAATTAAATTGACTTCTTGACATCTATGGAGCACCTTTTTCAAATTTTCAAGACATACATCAAAAGATGTTCCATAGACAGAGAAGTCATCCATAAAAACTTCCATTGAATTTTCCATAAGACCTGAGAAAATTGCCATCATGCAACGCTGGAACATGGCTGAAGCATTACATAATCCAAATGGCATTCTTCGATAGGCGAAGGTGCCGTAAGGACATGTGAAAGTGGTCTTTTCCTGATCACATGGACGGATGGGAATTTGAAAGAAACCAGAATATCCATCCAAGTAGCAGAAAAAGGAATGCTTAGCCAAACGTTCAAGCATCTGATCAATAAAGGGGAGGGGAAAATGGTCCTTTCGGCTGGCCTTATTCAACCTTCTATAATCAATACACATTCGCCAACCTGTAACAGTTCTAGTGGCGATTGGCGCACCCTTGTCATTCTTGACAACGGTCATACCCCCTTTCTTTGGGACTACTTGTACAGGACTAACCCACTAAATATCTGAGATCGGGTAAATTATTCCTACAACAAGCAATTTAAGAACCTCTTTTTTAACTACCTCCATCATATTTGGATTAAGTCTTCTTTGAGGTTCTATAGAGGAGGCATGATCGTCCTCAAGAATGATTTTATGCATACCAAAAGAGGGATTAATACCCTTAATATCATCAACGGTATATCCAATAACACTGTTATATTTTCTCAAAACAGTGAGCAATTGCTCTAATTTTGTGTCATTAAGCTCAACATTAACAATAACAAGATATGTATTATTAGGACCAAGGTACGCATATTTAAGAGTAGAGGTAAGGGGTTTCAACTCTACCTCGGGAGGCGTAGTAATCTCCCCAACACTCGATGCACTAAGGACTTCCTTCACTGGAGCGGTGATTGGATTTAAAGCTTCCTCAAGTAGCCGTGTGTACTCCCTTGTTTCCCAATCTTCATCATTTTCACTCCCCATTAACATTGTTTCAAGTGCATCATCAGTTTTAATTAAGGGAAATTGCTCACGTTGTAAATCATCAAGGACGTCCACTTGACAAATAGTCTCTCCCGTGGAAGGAGTTCCCATAACATTCAAGAGTGAATACTCCATTTTCTCGTCGCCTACCTCAAAAGTGATTTTACCATTCTTCATATCAATGATTGCAGTTGCAGTGGCTAAGAATGGTCTACCAAGAATAATAGGAACATGTGCATCCTCTTCCATCTCCATCACAACAAAGTCGCATGGAATAAAGAATTTTCCCACATGAAGAGGAACATCTTCAAGTACACGCAAAGGGAACTTAACCGACCTATACGCAAGTTATAGAGATATGCGTGTAGGCTTTAGTTCATCCATTTGAAGTTTCTTGCAAATAGAGAGCGGCATAAGACTCACACTTGCACCAAGATCTGATAGTGCCCTGTTGATCTCTATATCTTCAAGTTTCACCGGAATTGAGTAGCTACCCGGATCGCCTAGTTTCTTAGGAAGTGTGTTTTGCAAAATTGCACTACACTCTGCAGTCAACGCAAGCGTTGCGTTCTCCTCTAGCTTCTTCTTATTAGAGAGCATATCCTTTAAAATTTTTGCATAAGATGGAATCTCGGATACTGCATCTAAGCATGGAATGTTGATGTGAAGCTTTTTCAGAATATCAAGAAATTTTCCTTACTTTTTCTCTACCTTAGCTTGAGCCAACCTTTGTGGAAAAGGAACCTGTGGCACATATGGAGCAAGTGGTGGTGGAATCGATGCCTTTGGCTCTTCCTCAATCACACTACTATCAAACGCCTTCTCATTGTGAATATCTCTTCAACAACCTCCCTTGATGGCTCCCTTACAGGAGGATCTTCCAACTTCTTTCCACTCCTCAAAGTCACGGCATTCATATGCCCCTTTTATGGTTACTCTGTTTGACCTGGAAAGGTACCCGGAGTCTTTGAAGATTGGCCAACTTGATGAGCAAGTTGACTTATTTGATTTTCCATGAGCTTGTTTTAAGCTAGTAATTGTTGGATGAAATTGTTTGTTGTGGTAATGAAGTTCTCCATCATTAGCTCAAGGTTGGATTTTTGCGGAGGTGGTTGCATAGGTTGTTAGACTAGAGGTGGCCTTGCTTGGAAACCAGGTGGTGCATTATAATTGTTGTTTCGAGGTGGTGGTGGGGGTGGATTTTGTTGGGCTTGAGTATTCTTGTAGGAGAAATTTGGATGATGTTTCCACTCTTCATTATATGTGTTTGAATGAGGGTCATATGGCCTTCTGGAATTCGAAGTGTAGAATGCATTGGCCTCCTCGTTCGACATCTCATTCGAGTTTTGTGGACAATTAGGTGCAATGTGACCTTGTACATTACACATTTAACAAGTTTCAGGTGAGCTAGAAGATGATCCAGCTTAGAGCTTGTCGAACTTGCTTGTCAATGCCTGCACATAACTAGTCAAAAGAGTTAGAGCATCAACATCAAATTTTCCTCCCTTCTTCACACTATTTTGACCTCCTAGATGATAATTGTCATTAGCCGCCATCTTCTCAATTAGCTCCTTCGCCTCAGTTGGGTTCTTAGTCAAGAGAGAACCCCCAGAGCATCAATATAGATTCGGAACTCATGGGTTAAACCATTATAGAAGGTTTGGATCAACATCCATTCAAGAATACCATGGTGAGGGCATTGTCTCTACAATATCTTGAATCTCCTCCATGCTTCATATAGGGACTCATCATCTGACTGCCTGAAAGTATATAACTCGTTTCTCAACCTTGTAGTCTTTTCCTGTCCCAAGAACTTGACTAGAAAAGCTTTCGCCAGTTTGTCCCATGTGTCAAATGATCCAGTACCTTCATCTCTCAACCATTCCTTCGCCCTATCCATTAATGAGAAAGGGAAAAGGCGAAGTCTAATAGCATCATTTGTAACACCATTTAGCTTCATAGTATCGCATTTCTCCAAGAAACTATCAATGTGACTCACTGGGTAATCATGAGGTGTTCCTGCAAACGAATCATTGGAGATGAATTGAATGAACTGTGGTTTCAATTCAAAGTTATGAGCAGTAATGGGTGGTCTGATAATGCTAGAGAGTAGTTCGGTTGTTGTATCAGGAATACCGTACTCCAGAAGAGATTTCGTTCCTAGGTCGTCCATGTTTCTATTGTTTTGATTTCTCCTTCTTCTTCTACCTCTTCGTCTCCTTGCAGTTGCTTCGATTTCAGAATCAAAAGGTGTTAAATTGTCTGACCGTGAACGTTGTGTTTGCATGAAACAAAGAACTAAAAGCAGAGTATCAAAAACACAAGAGACAATAGCCGAAGCAACAAAAGCTTAGTAGAAACATATCACGAATAATTAGAATGAAACCGTTAGTCCCCGGCAACGGCGCAAAATTTGATAGGCGTGTCGCGTACCTAAAAAAAATAAACCAAACAAGACCACTACTATGTAGATGGGCAAGTAAGGATTAAATCCCAAGAGACTAAGGCTCACCTAATTAATTAGACTCAAGCAATCACTAAGCAAGTAACCAATTCAATGATGAAGAATACTAATAACTAGAATACTAAATAACACAATTAATCTAAAGAAAGTGATGAATCAATGAACTAAACCATCCAAGATCAAACATTACCACGAATATAATCGATGCACTAATAAATCTACCCCCAATAACAAATCAATTGACAAGAGGAAAAGCATTCCCTAAACAATACCAAAGGTCTCTTCCGAGTTATCAATGGCTTCCCAAATCAACTATCAAGCCTATTTCCATGGAATCAAGCAAATGAGGGAAATTAACCACAATACTTAACTTCCTAATCATCTAATCATCTACTTCTGTGATGAACTTCAAACCCTTAATTGAAAGGAAAAATTCATGGGAATAATCCCACCTTTAGGCCATTCGTTTTTAATAATCCCACCTTTGGATTATTTTTTAATAATCCGACCTTTACCTCCCATTCTTTTTTATTGGTCCCAACCGGTCATGTAACCTGTTATAACAGGTTACATGACACGTGGCAGCCTGTCATTGGTCCAAAAAAAGTTAGAAAAAAAAAATTAAGAAACAAAAAAAAAAAAAAAAAAAAATCTGCTCCACTTTCAGCCACCCAGATCGAGCCAATTACCACCAATTAGATGCAACAACCGCAGGCTGCAGCCCCTTAATCTCCTCCCCACCGATCGGTAGCCACAAACCAACCACCATCATCACTACTCCCCTGCCGCACCTACCAGCCCAAACTGCCCAGCAACCACCTGACCACCACCTTTAAACACCCCTCGCAACCACCTGCATAATCAATCAAAAGCAAAGCAGCCACCTGCCACACATCAAACCACCTACTTCCCCTCCTTGTCCTCCGTAACCACCATCCCCAACCACCCCGAAATCAACCCCCTCCCTCCCCCTCCTCTTCCTTATCCCTGAAACCCCCTTCTCTAGCCTCGAAACCCAATCCCGTCCCCTCCCCTTCTCTAGCTTCAACACCAACACCACCTCTTTTGGGGTTTTCGGGGCTTGGGAAATGGAGAGGGTAGGGTTTCGGTGCTTGGGAAGATGAGAGGGGCGGTTTTCAGGCCATTCCGGTGGTGGGTTAGGTGGGTAGGGCTAGTTCGTGGGTAGGGCAGCCGAATTGCAGCAGGGGATTGGTGTTCGGAAAAGGGAGGAGTAAGTGAACAGAGTGCAGGGAAGGGTGGTCGGAATGAGGAAAGGGTGCGGTGAAGGGGGTTGAGCGGCGCCAGCGTTGGCTGGTGGGGTGGTTTTGGGGTTTGGGTCTGGTGGTTCTAGAGTTTGGGTTTGGGTGGTGGTAGGGATGGTGGTGGCTGAATTGGGTTTGGGTTTGGGGTTTTTTTTTTTTTTTTTTTTTGTTTTTTTTTTTACCAATTAAGTAACGACACGTGTAAATTAATAAAAAAAAAAAATTTACCTCCTCAACCGGTTTCAGGTAAAATAGGACCAATAAAAAAGAATAGGGGGGTAAAGGTCGGGTTATTGAAAAATAATCCAAAGGTGGGATTATTAAAAACGAATGACCCAAAGGTGGGGTTATTCCCATGAATTTTCCTAATTGAAATACCCAAATCCCGTTAATACCCAACATCTGTTACGATAAGAACAAAGGGATGGTAACAATACTAATTATTCCTAATCTAGCATTGACATAAACGCAATTAATTAAGCATGTCAATTGGGATCATTATTGGAGAATTTAAAGATTCAATTCATGAACAATCATATTCGGGTTTTGCAAGATCCCGGATTATGGATCTACTCACACATATTAATGAAAACAAAAACAAGATTCAATGGAGAAAACATAATTAATAAGCAATAAAAAGGTAAAGGAAAGAGAGTAGATGAATACTAATTACTTCAATTTAAAAAGCTCGAATTGTTGATGAACAATAGTGCCAAATTAAAGAATAGAAATCAAACTATGTAGATGGAGAAAACTAGGGTTTTAAAGAAGTTCTAATATTAGGAAAATAAAAGTTGTCCCTCTAATTATGATTACAATGGGTATTTATACCCCTAAGAAAGATACAATCCGAAAATAATTTAAAACGGATGTTGCAGAGTTGTGCTCGGTCTGCCCGCGCAAATATGCATGGTCAGGCAAACGGGATAATTCTCCAACTTCGCAATCTTCTTCCTCTGCCCGGTCTGCCCGGGCTTTGCATACCCGGTCAGGCGCGCGTAACAACGTCAAAATGGAAAAGCTTTGCACTGCATTCCTCACAGCCCGGTCTGCCGGGTTTTGCATGCCCGGTCGGGCATACGGGACTTTTGATGATTCTTCATAGTTAACTTATTCTTTCTTCGCCCCAGCAACAAGGGCATGGGGTGCCCGGTAGGGCATTGGGGGATTTTCCTTCTCTCACTCAACAACCTCTTAATTGACCATCCAAAACAAGTCCGAAACATCCAAGAAATCTCCGTATCCCTATGAAACTCATTCAGATAGATCAAACACACTATAGAAGAGATTGTTAGCGAGAAATAGCTCCGTAGAGCTCAAAACCATGCAAAATACGCTATGAAATCGGGATAAAACATGGTATGGAATGCATATATCACTATCTTAACTGCTATATACCCTACTTTTCCCTTCTTATTCTTTTAGAAACAATCTCTTGAACTATGATAATATTATCAATGATTTTTCTTTTAGAAACAAAACTACACTAAGTAGGGGAGATAAGAGTTGGTAGGATGGGTTTTATCCTATTTTCAATCACCTTAGTTGCCAATTTGTAAAGAATGTTGCAAAGACCAATTGGACAAAATTGGTTAGCTTTCTTAGGCACATCCACCTTAGGAATAAGGACAATAAATGCATCCTGCAATCCGTTTGTGAAATCCCTACCTTCTAGCACAACTTTCACCAACCTAACAACACTTAGATTAACCAAATCCCAAAACCTTTTATAAAACAAAGTTGAAATCCATCCAGCTCCGACGCTTTATATGGTTTCATACTCTTCAAGGCTGCATATATTTCACAAGAACCAAATGACCTCAAAATAAATTTTCTCCAACTCATCAGCTGCAATTTGCGGGAAATAATCAGATAAAAGAAGTTGCTGCCTTACACTCAAACTTCCTTCCTCAGTAAACAAAATTTTCCAGTAATGAGGCACCAAGTCTTTAACTTCCTGCTCACTAGAGGTACATACTCCTTGCGAATTTTTCAGCTCGTTAATTCTATTCCGCTTTCTTCTTATGATCGTAGAAAGATGGAAAAAGTAAGTATTACGATCCCCATCACAAATGGAATCCAATCATCTATACACAACGTTTGAAACCATAACATTTGTTCATCATTTAGCACTTCATCCATCTCCCTCCTCAATCTTGCTTCTAATTTCACTAAGTGTCGTTGCTTACCCATAGATAGCTCAGCTTAAATGCCTTCTGATCTTGCTCACAACTCTAATTTTGTTTCTAAAAATATTATAAAATTTCTCCCTATTCCATGTTTCCAACTGCTCAGCAACCACTTGAAGATAAGGCATTGTTACAAAAAAAAAAAAAAAACAGATTTTGACTTTTTGTCTGACTTTCTTGACTTTGACAGAGTTAAGAGGTTTATAGAGTCAATGAAAGGCCTTTAGGTTGAATTGGTTAAAACATAACAACAACTGGGTTGATATCACGTAAAGGCCCAATAACATATAAGCTAGATTAGAAGGCTAATGGATGATTTTAATTTTCAAAGAAGTGATGACGCCAAGAAGCATAACCGTACAACAGTTATGGGAGTCAGCCATAACCGCTCCATTTTGCTTATAAATACAAGTGCAAGAATCGAAAGGAGATATCAACAAATCAATGAACAACAAGCATTTCATTTCTTTTAAGCTTTCTTCTTAGATTTCGTAATTTCCCTCATCTTAGTAGCTAAGCGATAGTTTAGTTTATCACGTAGCATGTATTGAAGATTGTTCGTCTTTTCCAATTGTATGATCATGGAGATAACCTCTTCTTTAACTTGTACAATTGTAGACCTGACTCTATCCCTTAATAAA